ACTAGAGTAATAATGGAGTAGTAATTGTTTGCCACTTTTCACAGTAGGGGAAACTGAGGCCCAGGAGCTATGAAACAGCACAGTCCCAAGCTTCCAGCTGATTAAGGCAGAGCAGGGTCAGGGCTCAGGGGCTGCAGCCCCGAGTATGGCCTTCTTTCAACAAGCCTCCCGGGACCCTGGTTTACAGGAGGGTGTGGGAAGGAAGGAAGTTCCCGCGGAAGTCAATGAGTCTATGGTAGGATTTAAGGAGGGGGTGTGTGTTTGTCAGGCGGCACTGTGGCATCCAGTAAGTGGTTCTTAAGAACTAACTGATCATTTTAGAAGCACGGTGCCTTATAAAGCCCCAACAAAGCTCTCCGTACTATGTATTGTCACCCTTTCCCTAGCCACATTTAAATCACAGTGTCAAACAGCATACTGGGCCTTCCAGCTTCCGAAGGAGAGATGTGTATGGAAGGAATGCTCTCCAAAGCTCTTTCCTATTTATTTTCTCACCCCGTGCCTTCCTCTCTCTGACTTTTCCCCCCCTTCCAGAAATAATGCTCTTATAGTTTAGATTGCTGCTCTTTCTGTCTTAATGAGTTATAGGAGAACATTTTATGGCTTCAGAAACAGCCATTGCGGGCAGTGAATCAACTCATAGCCTTCTCTTCCTCAACCGTTTCCACAAAGAAAGAAATGGATAGGAAAGCCAGGCACTTCTTCACGAGTGATGCACTTCCCTGAATCTGCAACACGGCTGCTGTGTCTCTCTTTATATTGGAGGCCGTGATGTCTCACGGGGCTCTGCTTCTGAACTTTCTCTTCCAACTATTGACAGAGGGGCCTGAAGTCAAGGCAGAGATGCCGATAACCCGTCCTGTTGTCTGTGGCAGGCAGTCTGCTCTGCTACTCTCACGCCCCACACAGAAGAACGCTCAAAGGGAATGCACCTGCAACCTCCAGTCCAGACCCAGTCCAAGGGAAAAACCTCCTTGTGTTTGAAGCCCCTGCTCAAAGACACTGAAGATGTAGGGTCTGTTTTAGTGACAGGTGTCACGCGCTTACCTCCAGAAAGTGTTCTGCCTGCTGCTCTCGGTCCAATTTCCTCGACGTGGTTGTAATCAGACCTGGGGAGAAATGAGAATATTTGAATATTAAATATCTGGAGCAAGCAGTTGGCAGAGCGCGGGAAATAAATCCCGCGAAGGGAAATGTAAGCATGATGGGAGAGCGGCAATTCTCCCATCCCGCGTGGGAATCAGGTGGCTTCCAAAATTAGTCCTGCAGCAAAATGAAATTTGCAAAGAATACATTAAACATTTGTTTCAAGTCCACGTAGCAGTTGAGGTATTGTGTTCACTGTGGGGAAAGAAAAACTCACTAAAGAACCATTGCTTTCTGCCTATGGAGGAATCGCCATGATTCATTTGCATCTGACTGGATGTCTATAGTCAGAACCTCATTACTGATTTTAGAGCTCTGGAACAATAAATAGATGGTTTATGCCGATGAGGTGCAGGCTATGAAACAGCACTTTCTTACTTAATTTTTGTATGCTTATTGTCCACTTTTTGTTGTTCTACTTGGCAAAGAAGGTTATTTCTGTAGGGACCACTTGGAAACACACTTATTTCAAATGTAAGTGTGACACACCACTTACACACCACTGATCCCAGCCTAGAGTGTCATCCTTTTGCAGTTCCACGTGGAGAAGCCCTCTCTTCTCTCTGCGCGGCGTTCTCTCAGAGGAACCCCCGCAGAGACACAAAGATCAGGGAACGAGAAGACACAGCCTTCCAGGCTTCCCAGCTTACTGCTGGGAAGCACCAGTTGCCTTTCGCACCTTTATTATTATTGTCAGTGGGCAATTAGGAGGTCAGATTTACATTCCATTCCTAGATTCCACAGTGTCTCTGAAGAGAATACTGGTGGGGTTGTTCTCCCGGTATACCCTGATTGACAGAGAAAGGACAAGAGAGGAAAGCGCATGAAAAGCTTAATTTTAACATGGATAGGGTGCTTGAAACACAGACAATGCATTTCATCAGGGCCTGAGGAGGATCTGCAGCCTTAGACTTCCACTTCAC